TTTTTTTGAAAATTATAAAATACTAGAGTTATACATCAAAATATTATGATTAAGACAACATAAATTTCTTTCGATGTGTCATTAATACAAATGGTTTCATGTAAAAAAAAATAATAAAGTAACAAATTGCACCATGATAAATTATTCAATAAACAATTACTCAATCATTCATATCATTTATTATGGTACTGACTGATGTGATGTTGTGTCGTGAATCTTATTTATGATTCGCACTTAATCATGTGAGAATGTGAACAAAATTTCATGAGACCGAAAGAAGAAATCCAATACACGCGAGACATCAGACTGTTCGAAGGGCATGAGAAAGAAAACTGGCAGACAAACTAGCTGAAAGTGGAATTCTGTCTTAAGGCAATTAAGGCATCGTGCCTTAAGGCAAATTGCAGGAACTTCCCGTACCAAAAATTATTATTTTTTTAAAAACGATTAACATTTTTGAAAAAAATTTACTATAAATTGGACAAAAAATTACTTTTTTTTAATTTTTTTTTTTTTTTGAAAAAAAAAATTATTTTCTTTATTTTGACATATTGTGGAAGATCTGAACTATTTTTCAAAGCAATCGTACTGCTTTAACTGCATAGGGACAAAATATAAAGCGCGTAAGCGCCGCGTCGCTGTCTAACGCATAAGCATTGGTACGGAACCGATAGGAAATGTTAACAAAATGTATATTTATTGTTAAAATCTCTATAAAATATCTGATAATTTGATGTGCATATGTCTAATGATCATTTTTGACCGCCAAATGGTTCGTTTTTTTACTTTTTCCTCCATATCTCCGAAACCGCTAGACCTACCTTCATGAAAATTTTATCGATTCTTCATCTTGTCAATACAAGTAAAATGTTTTTTGAATTATTCAAATCGGACGCTCCGTTCTCTTAAAAACTGAGTTACCGTTTTCGGTATTTTTTGCCCCGTATCTTCAGAACGGCTAGACCTGCCTTTGCCAAAAACTAATCAGCACGTCTCCTTATCAATACGAATCGAATGTTTTTTTGAATTATTCAAATCGGTTGATTCGTGTTCCCGAAATCGTCGACGAAAATTTGTATCCGCACATACATACACACACGTACATACATACATACATACACACACACACACACATACACACACACACACACACACACATACATCCATTTTTTCTAAGGTATGCCAAAATGTTCAGAAACCTCTGAAACGTAAAGATATATAAAAATTTTCATTTTCGATTTTTTTGCGATTACTATAACTTGCCCTACGGGAAGTTAAAAATTAAACCGGAGAAAGTTTTGCATTTATTTGAATAGATTAATCTAAAATTCTGATAAATTAATTGAATTGAAAGCCAAGGTTTAAATATTAAATAAAACATGCCAGGTGTTATATATTTTCTAATGCATGAAAATGAAATGTGCAAATAAATACACAGAAAAGATAATGGTAGATCCTCCCCTAACACTATATTTCCGAGCGTAAGTCTTGATAATATAATAAATATATTAAAATGTTTAATTTTTAATAAAAATTTATATCTATTTGTATCTGTTTTCATTGGAGAATCCAATGTGATAATTCTATATTTTCTCAACGTTTTGGGTCATTCTGTATGAAATGAGACCAAATTTGATAAAAGACCTTTCGTCGGCATTTTCTTAAAAACCTATTTTAAGAAATTAAAAGCCATTTGATGTAACGTGATAAGTTACATCATAACTAGCAGTTATCAGTTTTGCGCGACAATCGAACAAGCCGTTTCTTTGTAACTACTTGGAAAGTGTAAAAATTTTCGTCAACGTTCACAATTCATAATCGATTTTAAAAACTCAAAAACCGTTACAAAGTTATTGGTTCGGAACCCTGCTGATTGGTTTTTGATAAAAATCTGCTGGTCTGTTGAAATTTTTTTTGTCGATTTCGATGAAACTTACAGTAAATTTCGTAGTCTGAAGTAACATATTAAAATGTTATAGGCCTACTACAAGCTGTTAAATTATAAAAATCCAATAAAATTAACAATTTTCCAGTGCGCTTAAGCCAGCGGTTTCCAAGCTGTGGGGCGCGCCCCCTCAGAGAAGCCCCACGCTGTTCTAAGGGGGGCGCGTACATCTGTTTCCAGAATACTATTATCGAAATTAACCCAACATTTTTTTAAAGTTATTAAAAAATAAACGAAAAATAATTAGTTTTTATGAATATAATATAATTCAATTGCAATATCATGTAATATTTTTACATAATATTGCATATTTATTTGTAGTCTGATAATATCTGTTGAGTATTTATAAAATTAAACAGTTACAAAATTTAATTTTTTTTAACAATTTTTTTATTAGAGCAGGGGGGTGCAATGCAAAAAAGGTTGAAAACCGCTGGCTTAAGCGATTCTGATCAAAATCTCTGTCGAACGTATGTAATGCGGTCTATGATTCATGTATAGCTATTGATTACAGTTGACGTGCATATTTGAATAAAATACACTTTTAGAGCACGAAATAGATAATGCGATAAACAAATTAATTTATACAAATACAGGTATTATAAATAGGTTTTAAAGATATCAATTGAAAATCGTATTGATTATTTTTTGGTGAAAGTGGAAATGTTATATTCAAAATAAGCAGTTGAACATTTTATATAAATACTTGAATCTCAATTCCAATTTATTAAGTAAATTATATATATATATAAGTATCGTAAAGCCCATGCAACTTGCCTTAAGGCAAAATGCCACCTATAACTAATTAGTTTGTTTGCTATCTGACAGAATTAATTATCATAACGAGTTATGATGTACCTACTGTTAATAGAGATTTAATAATATTTCAAAGCCGTCTATATAATACAATACTATTAGTGCTAAAGATTTGTAAATAAAATTAAAGTAAACAATCGTTTACTGGTCTATACTTTTTAAACAAAATTCAATCCTTTCAAAAATTTAATCCTTACGTTAAGCACACTCTTCTGTTATCTATGGCATTAATTATTTAAATGTTTTCATGTCAGTATATAGCGGGTACTCTTTTTATACCTATGGTAAAAGGCACTCGACTTCAAGCCAACAAATTCGGATACTCTTCCTTTATCTATGTTTAGATATTTCTAGGTTATGTGAGTTGACAGGTCTGACCGTTTAAGTTTAATTTAAGTATATTTTAACAGCCTGTGGGCACGGAGAAAATACGTATTTTTGTAAAAATTCAGTCTTATACAGCGAAATAGTTACGTGTGTATTTACCATAAGCCTACACATTATGTAAAAATTTGTGCACCTTTTGATTAGTCATTCGGATTGCAATAAATTTTTGGTGTTGTTTCGGTAATATTACACATTAATGAAAAACAGATTAATGAAAAATTGGCCCATTGAGGTCTCTACTTCAATTCAGTTGATAGTGATCTAGTTCAGTTGATAGTGCATATATGATAGTTAAACTATTGTTGCAGTGATCTAGTTATTAATTACTTGGATTTACCTATAGTGTAAGAGAGTAATAGTGTAGTGACATGTGTACAAACGGATTTTTGTAAGTCCCACCAAATATTTTAATCAATTTTTTTATTGGACCGAAACGTATGGATCTAATAATTAATAAAAAAGGAATAGTCAACACACTATATTTTACATAGATCATGGAGTAAGGGCCCAAAAAAAATTCTAACCTAAAACTAATTAATCAATTAATGGTGCATGGCATAGTGCGTACCGAAAATTTAAATATTTAAAAAAAAAAAATTAAAAACCTTGAAAATTAGATTTTTGAGAATTAAGAAATTTTTGAAAAAATTTACCTTTTAAAAAAATACATTTTTTTAACTTCCCGTAGGGTAAATTATAGTAATCGCAAAAAAATCGAAAATGAAAATTTTTATATATCTTTACGCTTCAGAGGTTTCTGAATATTTTGGCATACCTTAAAAAAATAGATGTATGTGTGTGTGTGTGTGCGTGTGTGTATGTGTGTGCGGATACAAATTTTGGTCGGCGATTTCGGGAACAAGTATGAAGCGATTTGAATAATTCAAAAAACATTCGATTTGTATTGATAAGGAGACGTGCTGAATAGTTTTTGGCGAAGGCAGGTCTAGCCGTTCTGAAGATATGGGGCAAAAAATGCCAAAAACGGTAACTCAGTTTTTAAGAGAACGGAGCGTACAAAATTTTCATAAAGGCAGGTCTAGCGGTTTCAGAGATCTAGTGAAAAAAAGTAAAAAAAAAATGCCATCTGGCGGTCAAAAATGATCATTAGACATATGCACATCAAATTATCAGATATTTTATAGACATTTCAACAATAAGTATAAATTTTGTTTACATTCCTATGGGTTCCGTACCAATGTTTATCCGTTAGACGGCGCCGCGGCGCTTACGCGCTTCGATATTTCGTCTCTATGCAGTTAAAGCAGTACGATTGCTTTGAAAAAAAGTTTAGAATTTCCAAAATATTTCAAAATACACTTTTCTTCAAAAAGTCTTTTTTTCAAAAAAAAGTAAATTTTTGTCAATTTATAGTTTCTCAAAAATCTAATTTTTCAGAGTAAATTTTTTTTCAAAAATGTTAATCTTTTTAAAAAAAAAAATTTGGTACGGGAAGTTTCAGAAATTTGCCTTAAGGCACGATGCCATGCGCCCCACTAGTTAATCTAATTTATTTTGAAAATTTACCTTGAATAAAAATTATAACCGTACACGCATCCTTCTTATGAGGTATGCGAAAATGTTCAGAAGCTTTTGAAACGTAAATATATATAAAAAAAATTCATTTTCTATAATTTGGCGATTAGTATAACTTATCCTACAAGAAGTTTGAAAAGAGATTTTGTTTACGTGCCAAGTTACAATTACTTGTACCAGATGAAACATTTTTAGTCCATTTATTACTTGCTTATTAGTATTTTTCAATTATTCCCAAAGTATCAAAAAAAAATTATTTGTCAAGGTATTAGCAAATCTTTTAAAATTAAATAGTAAATGCCGACTGAATCAGCACCTATAATTAAAACATTGATATTGAGCTTCAATCTGAGAGTATGAATATTCCTGTGGAGAAAAACAAACAAGTCATAACATTTTAATATTTTAATCTAACAGTAAGTATATATATTTTACAAAAATATGATGAAAGTCTCTATCACAGTCTTTATCACAGTCTAGAAAAAATTAGCAACGTTATCAACGTACATGTTCATTTTTTATGACAATTTCTCCTGTCCGTTCAAAGCTCCTCCGCTCTGTGATTCCCAAAATCGCCGTTTCCATTGGTGGTAAACATTCCTGTACCTCTGTCGCAGTAGTCAACGAGCCACACTCTTTTTTGACACATGGAGAAATGTTCGTCAGGCCTGTTGTTTTTACTTGTCCATCTTCTCCTACTTGTCCAAATTCTGCTTCTTCCTGCTGCTGTTGCCGCTGCGCCTTCAATTGAGCACGTCTTCTCCTCCTGCTCATCTTGTTAATTTTGTTCCCTTCGTCCAGATTTTCTACCTGAACTTCATCCTGATTATTGTGCTGTTCTTCGTCTCTCACCCTAGTGCTCTTTAGGGCAGGAAAATTCTCCTCAGTCATCTCCGGAGGTGCATCATTCTGCTGTACTTTGTCCTGATTAATCTGCTGCACTGCGACTCTTACTACAGTGCTCGTTAGGCCAGGAAAGTTCTCTTCAGTCATCTCCGGAGGCGCCAGGCTTGCCTCCTCCCTTAAAATTTTCGCAAATCCCATGAAACTAAACTCATCCGGTTCAAAATATTCAACGTCCAACATAAAGGAATGAGTGCAAGAATTTAACTCCATATTTATTGTACAATGGAAACGATTCAACTTCTCTATTTGTTTGACTTTTATTTGACGTTTCTTCTTTTTGTTACTATTTTGTTAACAATAAATATACTGCGCATGCGTCGAACACTGTTTTGGCGCATGCGCAGAATGTACTTGGACACTTTCTGCCGGAATTTATGAATTTGTATAAAGTTTCTTATTTTTTTTAATTTTTTAATATATTAGATGTTAAATTCAATTAAATTTAAATTAGATGTTAAATTTAATTTGAATTTTTGTATACTATCTTATAAAGTTGAAAAAAATAAACGACTTCCTTATGACTTAGGTGTGATGTGCGTATGAATACATTAAATTCTAATATTGTCTAGGGTGATATGCTAGATAAGGCCCTCGTTTTATTTCCTGCAATACATCCATAATCAAATTCCACGTGTTCGTATTGATTTTGACCACATATTTAATTACAGATTACAGTCCAGAAACCAAAAAAATAAAATTTCACTTTTTCGCAAGTTTCATAGGCCAGAACTTAGGAGACTAACAAAAACTAGTGGGGTGACTTAAGGCAAAATACTGGAACTTCCCGTACCAAAAAATATTTTTTTTTAAAAGATTAACATTTTTGTAAAAAAAATACTATGAAAAAATTAGATTTTTGAGAAACTATAAATTTTTGACAAAAACTTACTTTTTTTGAAAAAAAAAAAGACTTTGAAGAAATTTTTTTTTAAATATTTTGGAAATTCTGAACTTTTTTTCAAAGCAAAGAACTGTTTTAACTGCATAGAGACAAAATATCGAAGCGTATAAGCGCCGCGTCGCCGTCTAACGAATAAACACTGGTACGGAACCCACAGGAATGTAAACATATACTTTTTGTTAAAATCTCTATAAAATATCTGATATTTTGATGTACATATATTTAATATATATTACATATATTTGATTACTATAATTTGCCCAACGGGATCCAGTAAAATTTTATCTATAATTATATAATTTTATCTATAATATATCTCATAGAATGTAGCTTATATTCTGATTGCTATTAATATAAAAAAAAGTTTAATTTACATATGCTTGGCGACGATATGTCATTACCACATATATTTGCTGCCTAAATAAACACCAATAAAAATAATTATAATAACATTTTGCGGAGTCAGTTTTTTATTGAAATAAAGTTATTGTTAGTCAAAAAAATCATAAAATTGATCACTTTTTATAGCATGAGCGGAGTACATTTTAGATCGTTTTATGAAAGTTTTACAGTAATAGAATTAAATGCCTGTAAATAATATTTGCAATATTTATCTAACTCAAGGTGCAAGATAATTGATTTAATTAATGTAGTAGAACCGCCATGCGCTTTAATAACTTGGTAAGAAATATTGTAATTTGAATATATTCGTAAAAAATATTCAATTCATTTTTATGCTATGTCAAACTTTATAGACATATTCTAATAAATATAATCATTAATTTTACAAATCAGAGTAGAGAGCATTTTTATAACCGAAATTATTGAGTAGATGTTCTGGTCTAGAGGCATAAATTTTATGTGATGTTTGAATGGCTGTTAAGAAAAAGACGAACAATAATTTTTATAATTTAATAAATCATGTCTTCAGATTATAAATAATATATAAAATTTGAAAATAGCCATATAGTTTTAATTTTAGAAGGTAATGAAGTGGGGGATCTTAAAAAGTTGGCACCTGATACCCATGATTTTTTTAGCTCTCCAAATAATCCTAAGAATTTTATTTTATAAATCTAAAATAATGTCGCTATCGTATCACAAAATAAAGGCTTTCTGAAAAAAAAAGTTTTTTTACACCTTTTTTCATATTCTCGATTTTATTTAAATGTAAAAATTAGAATTAGCAGATCATCGTTGTTCATACAAGAGAGAAATTTACAGAAAAGACTGTACAAATTTCGAGTAAATCGGTGCAGTAGAATTCTAGAAATCGTAAGTATCCTATTGAAGAAGAAGAGAAAAAAGTTTCATGGAGGAAGGAAACAAAGGAGAATTATAGTCTTCAAACACCTATATCTCAAAAAATAATATAAATTTTGAGAAATGCTTTTGTACACATATTTTTGAATAGTTAATCTTTGAAAATATCTAATGAGAAAAAACTATGATTAAAGATATATGTGTTATTTTTAATAAACTGGGCGTTAATACGTATTTGTTAAGGACTATTAAAAAATGTTTCTAAACTTTTGGTGATTCGAGAGTTCGCCGCGCCCGTTTCCTCATGTATTGACAAACACATTGCGATAATTGTTGTCTCACAAAGCCAATATTAAATGTATTTAGAATGGTTCATTATACGCGAGTACCTACAAATGTCCTTGGGCATTTATATAACCAATTTCGAATGCATAATAGTTATTATTTATGGCGACTACGTGACAGTGCTAGTGCTTATAACGATTGTGAAAACTTTTTATAAATAGGAATAAAATGGATCTATGATGTAAAACTTAAAACGACGCGTTTTAAGCTTATTTTCACTAATATACATAGCAAAATAAAAAAATAGAATAAAAATATACCATAGATTTTTTATTTAATATTTCCTCTATTCGTCTCTCCAAAGCTGCCCATATGCTTACACTTGTCATTATAGTCATCACAAAATACTATTATGAGCTTTTTAATGTAAAAATTTTATAATTTTGATTATTATTTGTAATATAAAGTAGTATTATTTTTGTGTTATTTGCATGTTTGAGAGCAACATTCAAAAATAAATCTATGCTCTGTAAGATTCAAGTTATTTGCTAATATTATTAGAATATGTAGTTTATTTATAATTTACGAAATATGTTTGTTATTATATATAATACTATTTACATATAATACCTGCCAACTTTGTTCGTATGTGAAATTTTTTTTAGAAGAGTTAAGTTTTTGCATTTTTATTCTAATTACCATTTATTTTCGTACCTTCTTGTATCGTATCACATTTTCTAAAAAAATAATTCTTCATATACAATATCTGGTACACTATTTTCTTGGGCTAGTACAACAACACTTTTTACCTTTTAAATGTTTTCATAGAGATTTGACTTTCTTTTTAATCATAACTCTAACGAAGCTAACCAATAAAATAATATTTTTTAAGTCACTACGTAATTATGACCAAAACCAAAGAATCACAGCTGGTTGTAATAAACACTGAAACTCTGGTTTGATACAAATTTATTGTACTACTAAATTTATTTCATATTATTATTATTATTTATACTCCATATTCTTCAGGTTTGTCAAACGCTTTGTCGAACCCTGTGGCCTTAATGTAGACAAAATTTGAATTAAATTAGATTTTAGCTCACTCGTAGCTAGAGCAAAAAGATCTGAATCAAACAGCCTGATGTCAAGCAGTAATGACATTGGTTTTCACTTAGAAATATAGATGACAATATGTTTCCAAATAAAAAAAGCTCTATCTGTCATTGCTGCGTCAATTACAAATTCATCAGTATTAAGGGATCTTAATTAAAGCAGCCTGATGTCAAGCAGTAGACACATTAGTTTTCACTTGGAAATATAGATAGCAAAGTGTTTTCAGGTGAAAAAAGCTCTGCCTGTCATTGCTGCATCAATTAAAAATTCTTCAGTTTTACAGAAATTGAACTGAAACTTCATCACATAGAGATAGGACAAGTGTTTTAGTTGCCTTAGTTCCTTAATCCTTGTGTTCAAAAGAAAATAAGAAAATAGATTTGTTACTAAAGATATTTTAGATAGAGTTACTAAATATAAAAATAGAGTTACTAAAATTAGTAAGTGCCACAACTCGATCTATTACTTTCAAGACAATTTTCGCATTTATTATATATTATTCCGAATAATTGCGACTACAGGTGGTTTATAAAAATTGTTCTGCAACACGTCGTCCACATTGTATGGGTTTCATAATAAATAAAACAGAATCATGAAACCGTGCAGCGAATCCAACTTACACCAGAACGTGCCACATAACTTGCACCTCGCTCTTAAACAAACATATAAATTCATCGACTTATAAATAATGAAAATACTTCGAAGAAACAATATAAAATTATTCAGGAAATCTGTATCGAAAGTAATTATTTCGATTTAAATATTGAGTTATGAGTCGGTAAATAAAAACGTGCACCAGTATTCTGTATGTAGAGCTTTATTTTTAGAAGGCGTTTTGTAAAGGACGAATGGAATGATTAGAGTTATTTATTCGCGGATTTTTTTTTAATGTTCATCTACAATAATTCATAAAATAATGAAAAATTTAAAACAATCATAGTGAAAGAACATATTGTTTATTGACTTTTTATTTGGAATAGCACTCAGAATTACGTATTGTTAAATTATTGTGATACTTCTTAACTAAGTAGCATTTTATAAGTCAACTTTAGAAGAAAATTGGCCTGATACATTTTTAATACCAGAATTTTTCTAATACTGACTTTTAAATTGATGCAGCAATGCCGACCAAAGGCAATTTTCACTTTGTTAGAAACATATATCTATCGATATTTTTAAGATGTCATTACTGCTTGATATCAGGCTGTACGAAGCGAGTATCAAAATTGAAACCTCTTAGTTGGAACAACAAAGTTTTAACCTCAAAACAACGTCAGCAAATTAATAATATATATAAAATGCCACAAAATAAGTTATAGTTTAGATTTCAAGTTTTATAAATATAAAATTGCCAAATATCGTTTACAAATAATGTTATAAATAGCAGTGCCAAATGTTATGAAAATTGTCTAAATAAAATAAATGTTTCAGTGAAATAAATCACTTCAATTTGGATAAAATTTAGTAATATTAATTGATCACAATTGAAAATGATAATTTGGGCATAATTTTTAAGGTCTAACGTTACATATTAAAATTTTATAAGAAATTAGACTTGTAAAAACAGATTCTCAATCCTAACAAGTAATTTGTTAGGTCAAATTCATTACAAAAAAATTTAAAAAATCCTAAAAATGTATATTAAGTG